GATAACATCCGCACCAGTTGGCTTTTAAAAAAGCGCTAAATATCACAAGCATGCCAAAAGTAATACGCAAGAGAAAATTGGTGTAAATCAGTTTCTGGTAGTAGGAAAAATGGTCTACACCCTACACCACTGGTAAGAAAGCGCCTTTCATACACTCGTGTGATTTTCGCACTCGGCTGCCGCCTCGCGCGAAGAAACCCTCGTGTGAAATTTGTCACTTTTTACACTCGTAATGTGATGTACTATTTTCCGCATGGCATAGCTTAAACACCTGTGTAAAATTTACTAAAAACTCACCTGCTTAGGTCGCGTGGTTATCGGGTTGCTATGGTAAGTATCTGATTAAAATGCTATCAAAGTTAATGAAACGAACTGCACTTTTAGTATCCATATTATTAATAAATAACATTTTTCTCCAAACGTCAAAAAAACGTCACTTTGTCAGCACCTGTCAAGATGTTAGAAATTTAATTTCTATGCTGGTAGGCAAATCCAGCGGGTTAACACCTGTCGAGGTGGTAGAAATTTAATTTTTCTCCAAACGTCAAAAAAACGCCACTTTGTTAACCTCTGTCAAGATGTCAGAAATTTAATTTCTATGCTGGTCGGCAAATCCAGCAGGTTGACACCTGTCGAGGTGGTAGAAATTTAATTTCTACGCTGCTTGGCAACCCCAGCGGCAGCAAAAGTACTTTTAGTGCCGCTCGTACTTTTACTGCCGCTTGACCATTCAGTTGCCCCCGAGCTTACCCCATTCGTTTGGAGAAAAAATAGCATGTTGCATACGGAGTAGAAGCACTTTTTTGTGCTTCAGCAGTATTGCAAGCCTCACTACGTTCGGCTCGCAAACCTACTGCTTCAGCCCAAAAAAGTAAAGCTTCTACTCCTTATACAACAATATACTATTTTTTAAATTGTTATTTAAAATAAAATTCAAAAAAATATATAAAGTGTGTGCTTGTAGAAAAAATCTTGAACCTTACCCTTGTGGAAAGTAACTTTCCCGCACTTAACTGCTTGTCCGAACTCCGCTTCGCATCGGCAGTTCGCGTGCGGCAAATTATAACTTTCTACACTTGTTAGGATGATAACTATTTTATTTATGAATATTGAAGGTTGAACCAATACCTGATGCTGATAAGAGCATCTGCTAACAACTGATTGCAGCGTTGCTTGAAGAAGGTACTTGTTGAGTAAATATTTTCTTTCAGCCTTGAGCTTAGGTCACCGAATAATCTGTTGTGGAAACTCAAAACCATTTTGAATACACAAGACAGAAATGTGGGTCGTAGATAAAATATTATACAACCACATCGTAACAATATTTCCGTTTGATTCGCAACTTTTTTCTCATCAATTATAGAAAAAAGGGCAAGTATTTCGAAAATTTAATTTTTCTCCAAACGTCAAAAAAACGCCACTTTGTTAACCTCTATCAAGATGTCAGAAATTTAATTTCTATGCTGGTAGACAAATCGAGCAGGTTAACACCTGTCGAGGTGGTAGAAATTTAATTTCTATGCTGCTTGGCAACCCCAGCGGCAGCAAAAGTGCTTTTAGTGCCGCTCGTACTTTTACTGCCGCTTAACCATTCAGTTACCCCGAGCTTACCCCATTTGTTTGGAGAAAAAATAGCGTGTTGCATACGGAGTAGAAGCACTTTTTTGTGCTTCAGCAGCATTGCAAGCCTCACTACGTTCGGCTCGCAAACCTACTGCTTCAGCACAAAAAAGTAAAGCTTCTACTCCTAATACAACAATATACTATTTTTTGCACTCTGAGGGCGTCTGGCAAGGCTTTGAACCCGTGAAAATCGTCTGGCATTATTACAGCCTTGTTAATGGAACATTTTTGAATAATATGCCGCAAAAATTGACCATTGGCAAGTATTTCGAATTTCGTGAATTTTTTAATGACTTATCAATTACGCCTACGCCAAACTTCCCCACTACATGCTGCCAGACTATGATTTGCTGTTGTAAGTACCAAGAAAAAGTAGTTAAGTATTAAGTACAAGTTTCTTCTTTAATAGAAATCAAGTACCAGTACAAGTATAAGTACAGAAGGAAATACTTAACATACCAAGTAAATTGACTTGAATTGTCCAAATTCAATTACATGTACCAAATTCCTCGAAAGTCAGAGTCAAGTTTAAGTATTTACTTAAACTTGCGTAGGTACTTTAAATGACATTCACATAGAAATACTTCAAAAAATAATTCAAGTATTTTTTATTTCAAGTATTGTTCGAACTAAACTAACAAATTAAATTATTGCTTTCGATAATCTTAAAGGGGGTGTACGGTATTGTAACCCAAGCCTTCTGAAGGAGTGAGTTTACATCTCTGTCAAATAACTGTCAATGAACGAGAACGTCTAATGACTATCAATTTAAAAAAAAATAAATAACTGCCATTTTGTATTACAGAGACTTTCGGTCTGTTTCCACAGAAATCACAAACTTGTCAGAACGTTTTTGATTGGTCTAAATTGCCAACAACCAGTTTCCTGACTATTTTCAACCAATGAAATTCGTTCTGACTGGTTTGTGATTTCTGTGAGAACAGACCTTTTAACTACCAGTGTATCAAGAGCTTCTCTCTTTTTCAATATCATTTTTTTTAAGTTATGTCAATAAATCGGATCATTAATTACATTAATGCTTTGTAAAATATTACAAAAAAATACAGCTCATTAAAATACACTCGCCAGCGCATTATTGCATAGTATAGGTGGAAAATCCACCAGGGGGTGTGACCCAACAATTAAAGTTTTAGGAAAAAAGATCCAAGAACAAATTCTCAAACCGCACTAGGCTACGACCAACCGTTGCTAAGATACCATGGTATAAAGTTCCTACTCCTAGCACTGTGACGTCATTTGCACAAACTGAGTTCGACAGCCGGCGCTGCCACGCGCTTTCTGATTCTTATTACATATATCCGCTCTGTTTCAACCGATATGAGAACTGTTCCAGAACCAGTAATTTCCAGTTGCCCACCAAAGTTGAACGTTTATCCTACTTGACAAATGAATTGATCGACTAAAAATTACCGTTCTAGAACGTTTCTCATGTCGGTTGGAACAGAGCCATTATCGTATTGTTTTTGCGTTCTCACATCTATTGCTGCATCAGTTTAAATAGGTTTTGCAATTTTTGTGTGTGTTTATGACGTCACGCGACGAATAGACAAAACTTTATTTAGTCGTCAAGTAAATTTTCAGGTATTTAAAAATACTTCAATTAAAAATATTTGCTTCAAGTAATTTCACTGGTACTTAAGTAATTTAATATCACTTAAGTACAAATTTTCAAAAACTTTTAAGTAAAATATACTTGACTGATATTTTAAGTATTAAGTACAAGTAAAAATTGAAAAACTTGAAATCGCAAGTACAAGTACCAATGTTTGGATTAGTACCTACTTAAGTCAAATACTTAAGTATTTTTTTCTACTTAAGTATTTTTTTCTACTTAAGTATTTACTTCAAGTATTTAAAATACTCAGTACAACAGCTCTGATGGATAATAACACTATTTCTGGTATTTTCAAAATCGTCAGCCAGCGTAACAAGTTCGTAACGTCTACACTTACATCAACAGGTACCATAACTTAAAAACATCCCATTTCTAGTAGTTCCGTTTCATCTGGATATTTTTGGACGAAAATTCTCCGTTTATTTACCTTAACAATTGGAAAACCAAATTCATAATCCTGAGAGAAAGTTTATGAAGGAGAATAATTTCATAACATTACCCTTGATATGACAATATTTTCATACATTTTGAAGTCACGTTTCAGCATTGAATAAATTATTTTGTTCATAACAATTTTAATGGAAGCTAAAGCTAAATAATAAGATCTATTTAGATCCTCTATCCCAACTCTTAAGAAAGTCTTATTTGTGAACGAATAGAAGCGAGGGTATAGAACTCATTTCTTTCCAAAGTAGTCTTTGCTTTGATAATAGAGGCCTTTATGAAGCATGTGCTAGAATAATAATATTCTATTATCATTTACTACTTCGAAATGAATATTTTAATTATTCACGACGACGGTTTATTCCAAAAAAGGGTTGACGTTTGCTTAAAGATTTTCAACCAACAAAGTTTTCTCTTCTAGTGAACTTCATCTATTACAAACTTGTCAAAACACTTGAATAATAAAATAGTTTCCAATTCTATTCTAAAAATAAAGTGAACTCAACCCCCGCAAATTCAAGCCGAAAGTGATTCCTTACCCGACGAGGTAAGTACAGAGGAACAAAATAATAGTAAAACCTTTTAGTCGCAACATAAAATTGGCTCTTTTGTAAACATGTTTATAACACTGCGAGTTTCTTTTTTGAATTGGATAATGCCATTTTTTTTCATCTTAGATAATGTACACTCTTTGTTATAGGTTGTGACAGGAGAGGCTTAAGTGTAGGTATTTTACGTGCCAATAGTTGGAGTTGGGGAAAAACACCCATAAATTTATTCATTTATGGCACAAGTTACGTAAACTACAATTTTGATTTTTTTTTATGGAAAATGAATTTCGTATAATAACAAATAGATACCTACGCCGCGCCGCATTATTAACTTATTGTTACATTAAAAGTAGATGTCTTGGTAGATATATATAATTTGTTTTTAAATAGTGGGCTACATTAAGCGCAAAACAACCCAGTCAATTTGACGTCAGTAGATATACGTCAATTATACAATTTTTGGTCAGTAGATACGTCAAATATACGTTACATTTACGCCTTATATATGACGTCTTTTCGGTAGGACATATTCATGTGGTCCGTCACGTCATAATTATAGCCATCTTATGACGTGATATATGAAACTTTGTGTATTTTTTCGATTTCTAATAAAATATGAATGATCGATGTTTGTTGAGTTGGATAAAGTTATTATTACGGTTCTGCCTATAGGCGCCGGGACGCCCTTCTAGCCAAACATTCAACAGGCGTCGCGTCACCGAGCGTCTGTTTGTGCCCGACTGCCACGCGGTTATAACGGAAATCTAAATACGTGCGAATAACATCTGGATAAATGTGCCGACTTTAATGTTCCACTAATTTGGAAAAATTAAAAGAAGAAAAAAAATCGCGTATTTAATCCTTGAACGAAAGGTAAGAAATAATTTTTTTTATGTGATAAGTTTTATTTGAAAATTAAAATATAAATTTTTGGTAAGACACAAAATTTAACTTCCTCAAAAACCTAATCCGCGAAAAGAGCTGTAATGCGAACTACTATAGATGTTCCTTTGAAAAGCCCCTTTCGATTTTTTAAAGAATTACTAGTTTTATCAAGAGTTTTGTGACAGAAAAAGTTAGTTTAAAGTCACAAGTAACTCTTTGACGTGAAGCAATTTTTACTGGTAACGCAACAAAACAAGTAAAATGAAAGTTATAATAGGAATTTTCGGAAACTTTTGAATTAGCCAAACACCACACTGAGCACCAACGGAAGATTAAATTCGAGATACATATTTGAGTATAATGTGATTATTTATTTATTTTTTTCAATCTCAGAAGCTACAATTTCAAATTAGAAAAAATTGTCAGTCTTTGTACTTAAGTAATCCTTTATTTCAGCCACATTATCTGCTTGAGATCTCCGAAGCAGTTTAAATTATTTTGGAAATTTATCTTATGGAAGGCGTAATTTTGAAATGTCAATTATTTCCATGTTCAGAGTTCGACTCGAATTGTTTATTTTGGTACATCTATACTTTCAATGGAAAAAAAATTTAAATTTTGAATCCTAGACCTTTAGGCCAGGCAACATAGACCGATTAAGTAAGGGGGTGTAGCCGAATTGATTGATTCTCGGAGAGCTGGAAATGGTTTCAATCTTTTCATTTGCGCGTGAAAAGAGTTTTTTCAAAGTTTTCTGCTTTTGCTCTATACGGGGTGTCCTAAAAACCTGGTCATTTACTGACTTTTCTCAGTTTTTCCCTAGCTAAATGATGCATTTCTAGGAAAGTTTTACTGCATGACAGACTCGTGCGGAAAAATTAATTTTCCGCATCTTGTTAGGTGAATAGTTATTGTTTAATTTGCTACATTTAGATTACATTGCGAGAATAAGCAAAAAAACACATTTTTTTAAATGGAAAATATCGTTGCTGTTTGACTTTGCTTATTTTCCTAACGACTTGAGACAATTCCGGGTATATCAATCAATTAATCATTCGAAAGGTTTTTATTTGGTATAATTACTAATAAATCACTTATAAAAATTACAGAGTTTATAGTTTATATATATACCTAACCACCTTTAGTGCAAAGACTTTCTAAAACTTTTCATATTACTAATTAAATTAAACTAAATAAAAATAAAAAATATTAAGAGAAAAGAAAATAATAAGAAAAAAGAAAAGGGGTACCCGTAATTTGGTTCCCAAGATAATGAGGGTTAGAAACAAAAATATGTAACTTGGTTGCCCCAACTTTTCGTTTACCTGATTTTTATGTGTAAATTGGTTCCCGCTACCTGTAGTATTTAAGGTGGATTACCATAGGCAATAAAACAGACTAAGCAGTATTTACAATACTTATTTATTTTTACCTATTTCCTATTACCTGTTTTTGCGCGTTTATCCGGTAACAACGAAAAAATTAATCGAATATAATGTCCAATAAAATATCCATGTAATGGGAAAAATTGATACTTAGTCATCAATAACCAATAACTGCTTTCTACGTATACTCGCAATTATTTCGGGATTCATACTAGAAAATATTATTGGCAATTGACGAACTTCAAACACTAGCGGTAACAACACATAAACTAACTACAACAAGATTACTAGCTTATTACCTAAACCGCAAACCCCACCCTCAGGTACCTAATTAATATTCATTATTACGTGCGAGAACCAATATTACAACTCTCTTTAGGGGTCTGGGAACCAAAATAGAAATTGATAACAAAAAGGGGCTAGCACCTGCCAGGAACCAAATTACCAACACCCAAGAAAAGAGGTAGTAACAATAATATTAGGAAATAATAAAAAAATAAATAAAAATGGAATGATGATATAATATGCAATTAGGCATATAACTATGCAGATATATACAGACATTACAATTTTACAAAGAACGTAAAGTAAATAGATACAATTTTAAATGTTCCTTAAATGATTTTAAACTTGGATACGACTTGATGTGAAAATGATTTCTCAAAGGATGCTGTAGAATGTTCCGGAACCTGATACAAATTGCGAAATCGACTATCGAGTTGGTCTGTTTTGAATGTCAGCCCCCGTACAAAGATTTCCTAATAAATATGTGGGATTTTTACATTGCCTGATTTTAGAAGTTGAAGTAGCGAGGTTAAGCTGATATCTTTCAGACATATAAAGCCAATTGGAAGCTTGAAAAGACTCAGTGATATGGTCAAACTTTCATAGCCCAACGGATGCAGGCGTTTTGCAACTTTTGTAAACTGTTCTTTATTAAACGTAGTTAACGGGGTCCAGAATACGATATATCCTTAGCTAACACAAGAAAGAATTAAACTGTCACACAATCTCAGTAGAAAAGATAACCCTGTTCATATAAAAAGTTCTTAGCTTTTAGCTTAGCATATGACCTCTGCAGTAAGTTAGAAACATGAGTTTCGAAATCAAATTTATCATCAACTCATCTAACGTAATTTCAGGTAATTTTAGAAGAATCACTTTGCCAGATAAATAATTGATCTCTACCAAAAATTAGCATTTTAGTTTTTATAAAACACAAGCAGACAATTTGTGCAAGCTTTAAAATAGTATATTTCCTAACTAGTGCGGTGAGGAAAAGAAACTTTCCGCACGAGTTAGGAACATTATTTTATCTACGAGATGAAAGTTAATATTTGTACCTAAGAATATAGGTACCTACTAATTTTAGATATTTTTACTTTTCCGCACTCATATTAATTTGTATCTGTACATCTAACAATGTTAGATATTTCTACCTTTCTTATTAGTACCTATTTTACTATATTCGAATTTTCAGGAAGTTGCAAAGCGAAATCTAGCACGGTGTAAAATATATTTTTCCAGGTTTTTCGTTTACTTTGGAAGTTTATCCGCGCCTTTCGCACCACCCAAACGTAACACCGGAGATTTTTTTTACCATTCTAACGCCAACTATGGAGCTTTCCCTATGTCAATAGGGAAGCCTTGGAAACACCATATAGATTTTATCATGATGGTAATATATGGCTGGAGTAGGTTTCAACACACAGCAGCGGCCGAATACACCCTGAAGACCTCATGCCAGAAACTCAAAAAGCAATAACTTCACCAAGAAGGAAAGCGTAGATGCAGCAAAAGACTATCTTATACTGATTATCATACGCTATATCTTTTTATCGATGTGCATAAACGAACAGCGAGATGGGAGTTGGGAGACATTCCCGTTATAGGCGGTCACTCGATATCGTCGATTGTGCGTTTTCTATAATATAAACCAATTCTAGAGCCGCACACTCTTCTACGGTCTTAGCACACCCAACTTGTGGCAGCATTGTCTCTTCTTCTGTTTTCTCGCTCCTTCTTGCGGTCCCTCTTTTTGGTCTCCGTTCTTTGTCGCTGTTCTTCGAAAGTTTGTGGTCCGTCGTGGACTACTCGACTCCATGAAGGCCTATCATTTGCTGTCGTCTCCCAGTTGCTGGTATCGATGCGGCACTTTGCCATATTTTCCTTGAGAACATTTTTGTAGCGTTTTGGTTGACATCTTTGATTTCGTTTTTCATCCTTCAGTTTACTGTAGAAGATCTGTCGTGGAAGACGTTTTGGGCATGCGGATAAGGTTATCTGTCCAGCGAAGTTTGAGCTTGTTGTCTTGGACTCCTCTATGCTAGTTGTTTTGGACTCCTTTATGCTATTTGTTTTAGACTCCTCTAAAACACAAATGCTCGTTCGTTGATCTTGCCATTTAATCCATGGGATCCTCATTAGGCATCTTTGGTGTTTTTTTTCTAGGCTTCTTATGTGTCTTCTGTAGATGTTCCATGTTCTGCAGCTATATGTAAGTGTTGGTATTACAACTGCATTGTAGACTCGAATTTTGGTCTAAGCGCTGAAGTCGAGATTAATGAAGACTCTCTAGAAGTCGCCCGAACGCTGCGCTAGAACACTTCAATCGATGTTGGATTTCAGCCTCAATGGTTGCATTGGGGATTAGTAACCGGTGCGGGTTGGTGCAGAATCTGTGTCTTGTTAAAGTTGACCTCTAGGTCGATTTTCATGTATGCGCGGTTGAATGCATTGATAATTGCCTGAAGATCTTCCTCTGTATTGGCCATCACGACGCTATCATCCGCATATTGAAGTTCAATTAATTATCGATGTCGTCGATACTTTCGTCTTGGCACGTAATCTGTTCAGGTTGAATAAGCCGCCATCAAGTCTGTACAGGATTTCCACTCCTGGGGGCAGGTGAACCTCGACAAGGTGAAGTATGGATCTTATAAGTAGAAAAAAGAAAGTGGGTGGACTAAGACAGCCCAGTTTAATGACTGCATCGTTGCTTAGGACGTTTGCATCCATAATATCATGCAGCAGGCGGAGTATCTGGATGAACTTTTGCGGACATCAAACCTTGGCCAATATCTTCCTGTTGATTGATTGAATCAAATGCTTTCACTAAATCTATAGAGGACGATTTTTTTCTGTGTATTTCTTTTGTATTTATCTAGCACTGAAAATCATGTCATCTGTACCTCGGTTGGTTCTAAAGCCACACTCTTTATCTGGGAGGTTCTCTCCGGCAGTTGGCATAAAACGATATGATAATATCCTGGCAAGTATCACTGGCAACGCTGTGTGACATATCTTTGTTTACTGTGAATTTTATGTGCTGATTTTTGGTGATTTCGGTGAAAATAATTTTGATAAGCTTTATTGTGGTGCTTGGTGATCAGTTAATAGCAGTAATTGAAGGCAGTACTTTATTTGTGTTTTTTCGGCGAAAGTATCAAATTTAAATTGTGAATAAACAATAACCACAGTCAAAACTTGGTACAAGGTTGCTATATCTTTTCCTGAAGTGGTCAGTTTTAAACAATTTTATACAAAAGGGATAAATGGCTCCCTGCTACAAATGCGATAGGGCTTGTGTCTCTAAAGATGATAAATCATCGCTATTTGGTTACCCCTGTTATCTATGCTGCAAAACTATATGTGCAGAATGTGCTGGGATTGCTCCATCAGAGATTCGAGTTCTAGTGTTAAAAAGTAGCCCGGACTGCAACAATACTGTTATTAAAAACATCTTGGATCAAAGCATAAAAGTAGAAAACCTAGAAAAAGAATTCAAGAAATTTAAAGACAATCAGCTCAACCATAAATTGGAACAAAAGAAAAAAATGAAGGCCCTTGAAGACAACATAAAGAACTTAACAACTTCCATCACAAACGTGGACGATCTGGCAAATAAATTAAAAGTATTAGAAAATCAAGTGAAGAGCTTCCTTGACGTTCTCTATTAAAATGGAAGTAAATAAATACGGAACATATAATTATGGCTTATTTTTGGACCCGAAGAAATCTACGGAAATGGCCGAACGGTGTTTTAGTTAAGTTATTTGGCTGGGGTAGCAAAAAACATTACTGTAACAACAACAAAAATTATGAGATGTTTTTTTGGCTACAACAGTAAAGTATCTATCTAAATATATTAGTTAAATTAAAAGGGGTAGCAGAAATATTTTCATGAAATTTTAGTTTTGATATAACAGCAAAATTTGTTTTTGGAATAACAAATGTCTTTGCATTTTCAATAAAGTAGTTTCAGTAAAGTGATCTTTTCTGTAGAAGCAAAATAACATTGCTACCTCTAAAACATTTTTCTCTGCAACAGCTAAAAAAAACCCAGCAAATAATTATCTCCTGGGACTTTTCTCAGTACATACGCGCGTTCCACATATACAAATCATACTACGGTATAGAATGACATTCATCTGTATAATAGTATAGAATGTAAATACGCTACCGGGTACTCTAACTCCGTTAGAGTTGTGGGTATATCTGGAGACGGCTCAAAACTAAAATTTAAACTAGAACAATGCGTTTATTTTGCAACCGAGTATGTTCTATTGAAATGGATGTGAGAAAGTTGCATAGTCGTCCCAAGAAACCATAAAATGTCATTATAAAACATACCAACCTATAAAAAAATACATCCACATGCCACACAACATTGGAACCTTGCGATTTTATTCCCGCATATCTAAAATACATATTTATCGGATTTGACATTCATAAAGTTGTTCTCCTAAAAAAAACTCGAAGAAGCCAATATAATATGGAGATTTATATTTTATGCCAAAACTTTTTTTTTCAGAGAAAGGATTACAATTTCCAGCCAAGAAAGTTTGGCATTTTAGAAATCCCTGGTTCCGCAATATCTTTCAGTTATGAAAAACGTTGAATCGGGGGGCTTTTGCTTGCGTGTTAACACTTAATTCCTCCAAAGTCCAAAAGTGTCGGTTTTCCTTTGCAAATAAGATCTAGAAGAGGATATATTTCGTGAAACAAGCGGATAAAATATCACTATCAATCAATTTTATGGAAGGTTGTTACTTTCTTAAATTTGATAAGATAAATGGGTGACATGATACCGAATTTCCGACATCTTTCACGAGAAACGAGCAAAAGTGGAATTTCTGATTTCTTGCTATGAGTCTTTCATGAAAAACTGACCTTCTAATAAATACCTAAGCCTTATAATCCCAGATAATAAATTTGCATTTTTAGAACATATTGATGAGTATTCATTTGCATGAGAACATAATTTTCGTTGAAAATTGGCAAGCCTATTCTATTTAATCAATACAAAAGTCTCTTGCAAATCCAAATCATACCTAATAAGAATGCTATCTGTGTAGGGAGTTACCAATAAAGTATGTAAGCGACAATAACTCCAAAACACTATAATATAAAGTTTCAAGCATGAAATATTCTTTACCAATGTAACTTTCGATTTCGAGTGCTTCCCTTTGAGTGGCAATAAATTACTGTTGCTTGGCAATAAATATTCCTCGAATTTCATAGAAATATCTCACGCATCAACAATCAAATAATTTTCCTCGACAGACGGGAAACTAACAGGAAACAAAGAAGCGGCAGTAAACGGAAATATTAAATGGGAAATTAATTTTACTCGGCTGGTTTTACCTTGGAACTGAAAATAAATGTGGTTTGGCTAAATAATGTATTTGTAAAGAAAGAAAAGTCTAAATTATATTTCGCTTGGTATTCAATGGCTTACTTACTTCTCCAAGCCAGCAATACGCTATTATTTTTAAAGAATAATATGCTAAACCTGATGCACAAAAATTGCAATGAACAAAATGCTTCGATACAAAGCCAGCAGGAAACGTGTCTTTGAATAAAATCGATGCAAGGTTTCGTAATACAATATCAGAATAATTATTGCATCTACCTTTATGAAAGCGAAAGAAAATTAAGGGGTCTTAATCACCTGTCATTACTTTATTTGAAATTTTAATTAACTCATAGTTTTTTTCTTAAATAAAATTTTCCTTTTGTTAGTTTTATGATACGACATAAAAAGTCCAACCGAAGAAGGATTAATTTGAACCCTATAGAGACGGACCACAAGTTCCTTGCAGGTCCTTTATACAATGCTTTTTGTTTAGAGATTGCTCGTGCTGCTTGAAAATTGAAAGGACTCTTTTAAGCCTTTTACTGTTTGCTTGAAGGGACGAGTTTTTGTTGGTAAATTTTATTTGAGGCAGGATTTGTGCAAGGACTCCTATTTCACTATAGTAGGTATAAAAGATTTTATTTAGGAAGAAGATACCTACATAATGCAGGTTTGGTAGAATTACTTTGAATATTAGTACACTTTCATAGAAGAAAAGAAACATTTTTATTTTTGAAATTTAAAAATAATTTGAGAATCACTAATTTTCTGGAATGGTTAGCAAATTTTTCTTTTTCTTCTAAATTTTAATAAGACTTTATTATTATGTTTCGAAAGTCTTTTTCTTTAATTTGTATGTATGGGTAGGTATAATCTGTGAAGCTGAGAATTTTTTCATCTCTACTTCAGAGTACTAACTAATTAGGTAAGCTGTCAAAACCTCAAAGAAATTATAATTTCAACTAACGGCTTTCCGAGCTACTACTAAACCCAATTAATTCCTTTCACAAAGTTTTAATCAGAAATTAAATGTCAATTTTCCTTCTCCAGGCAATATTGTCTAAAAAGTACATTCAAACCAGTGCTCTCTTCGTTTACTTTCGAAATAAATCAATCCCCTTTGATGCAAGGATTATCAAGAAAAGCTAATTAATGAATATTTTTTCCAGGAAATCAAAATGGTAGATTTGGGCGCGGGTTCCAGTGGCAAAGCTAGCAGATTTGTGTGTCCCAATGATAGACAGTTAGCCCTCAGAGCCAAGTAAGTAGCAAAAGTAACCTGAGATTAGGTTAACTGATTATCTACCTTACTAATTTGTTAATTTTTTAAAAAATATTTCTAGTTATATTATTGATGTTATTAAAAATTGCTTGAGCACGCATCACATCTGCGTATTTTTTCGTGTATTTCTACATGTATTTACATAAATATGAAGAAATACACGAATGTAAAGCGGGAATATTACGATAACAATTCTGTTAAATATGTACCAAAACTATAAGGACTATTACTGAACAAATTTCGAAGTTACCATATTCCAATAAATTACATCGTGTTCAATTCCCTATACATGCTGAGGTTGCATATTCAACCTATAGTTATAAGGAACATCCCAACCATGCGCGAGCAGTCAGTTTTTTTAGCTATAGTTTATACTCTTATTGTAATTCGTTAGTTTCAATTGTAGTAATTAATTTTTAAAAAAGCAAACCTCCGGCCGTGTTAGTTAATTGGCGCAGTCGGGAATCAATATAAATCGATTATATTGATTTTTTCCATTTCAACTGGATTTACCGGAAACGAATCTAGTGTTGTGACGTTGGCGGAGGTCTTGAAACAGAGTGGACTTTCTGAATATCGAAAACTCCCAATAGTAGGAGAGACGGCTGCAGAGAATCCGTCGTCATAAGGTGGACGAGCGAAAAAAATATGAATATTAGTTGAGGCACTAATTAAGAGAATACGCGAAGGTTGCCTGCGAAAATCCTGCCGAAACAGTGTTTTTCAAATTTTTTCATTAGATGAATAATTACAGTACATAACTATCTTTTAGAGGTGGACATGAAATGAAATCACCATGTTGTAGGGGAGCGTGAGGCGAATTCAACCATATAAGGCTGCCTGCCCCCACTCTGCCGCACCACCCTTGCAGCCTGGCTAAAAAGGTCGGTTTTTTATTAATAACTATCGTCATCAGGTGGGCGCATAAATTAGGTCTCAAATTAAAGGTCTCGATCTCCTTTTTCCATCAAACTAAGGCTGCCTGCTCAAATCCTGCCGAAAGATGTGGTTGCCTCGTTTTTAAAGTTTCCGGTACGTGCGCCGCGCGCTAGGTATTTGCGGAGCGAGGTGTTTAGTGGCGAAAAAGTCGTCTACAAAACACCGAAACGAGTTTTTATTTTTGCTCCTTGTCACTTTGCGTTACTTCTAATATTTAAATTATCGATAAGGATCTATAAAACAAAACGTCATGAAAAGCATAGTTTGATATCAAGAGGAATTCAGGTCCATGATGGGGTGGGGGAGTTGAGGGGTAGATGTTGATTGGTTGCTTAAAAAAAAAAGCATGAACTTTTTTGACAAGAAACGTTTATTAAAGTACGTTCAAGTTGCATATATTCCTACATTTCAAAATTTAAAAATAGTTAAACCTAATTTTTAAAAAGCCATAATTTTCACAACTGCCAAAAGCTTCATGTGAAGATTGGTCCAACACATTACGTGCAAAAAACCAGCCTTGCGACGTGTTTCATACAGTATTTTTTGTGATTCATTCAAAATATATAAAATTCAAAATACTTATGGCCGTTTCCACCAACTATTTTAGGGGAGCCTTAACGATAAGTATTCCCTAAAATGACATTTCATTTTTATATGGAAAAATGTCAGTTTAGGGAATACTTATCGTTAGGGCTCCCCTAAAATAGTTGGTGGAAACGGCCATTATAAACTCTTAACACTCACGCGGAACGCACTCTAAATCCTATTCCAACTAGGCAATTCAATCCATCTGTCAAAAAGGAAAATTCAATATGGCGTGGCGGCCAAGCAAGTTTGTTTTTAATATGTTTTTATGCGTATTTTAAATTATTCTACTTAAAGTTTTGTTTGCAACTTTGATTTTGATTATTTAATAAAATATTTGTTGATTAGGTACCTAAACTATTAAATCGGACAGAAACTAGATATTTTTTTGTGTTTTCTGGCCCATGTGTGGCCGCCATGCCATCTTGAATGTCACGTGGTTTGAATTGCCTAACACTCAGGGATGAAATGAGATCTCATTTTAACACTGTATTAGAACACCTGCTTATTTTGGCGTGTGTGTTAAAATGAACAACTTTTGACAACTAAAGTCAATGTCAAAAAGATGACATTTCCTAACTAAATTTCAAAATATAAATTTTGATAGTCTATCGATGAATAATAGACGGTCAGCTAATGACAGATTTTTGCTGACCGGTTTTCTCTTCTCTGGGAATTTAACCACTGAAAATAGGGAACTTGCAAGTGAACTAAAATTTTCCAAATTTGTTTTAAATCGATAGTGTATACTGCACAATATTTATATGACCAGTTTTTATTTAAGTGATACCGCTCTTGTTACACAAAAAATAATACTAAATTTGAAATAAAAAATTTCCCGCCAAAACAATGCTTCCATAATGGCTACCTTTTTTGACGTCACGATTCTGTAAACAAACCTGTCAATAGGAAACTTGCAAGTAAAAAAAAATTACAAAAGCATTCCTTCACAATATTTGTATTTGAAATTCTGACGGCGATAAGCAATAAAATTTATGCACTTTTTCAAAGCTGCATTAGAAAATTGCTGAACAACTCCATTGTCTTTCCTACAGAGAAAACAATTCATCTTAAAACAAGCACGAATTTCACGTTTATTTAAAAAAAAAAATAATCGGAAATGAAAGCTGACGACTTCTACGTCTAGATACTGCACTTGCGGTGGTAGCCGTAGCCATTTCAGAATTAATCGTTCCTTCTTTCTTTGTGACCTGTAATTCGACAAAGAGCAAACTAATACTTTACATATTACTTGAACTCACCGCAGTGTCGTTTAAGGTTTTGTTAGATTATACTTGACATATTCCTTTGAAATTTCATTGAGCGATGTCGGATGAAACATTTATCAAAATAAAAGTGTAAACGATGTTCATCCACTTCAAAGCACTTCTTTTGTCGGATTTAAGGCGTTGTAAAACACTTGACACTATATCACTTTTTTAATGTTATAATTTTCGATTTGTATTGTCTATATTTGTTCTACAACAATACAATCTGGCTACACTGCAGCCTACGAGTTGCGCGCGCATGTCATCTTTTATTGCTTTCTAACTTGTATTTATTATAATTAAGCTCTCTTTTTCTAATCATGCGAGATAGGTCTATTCCACCTAGTGTCGAACAAGTAATTAGAATTAAAACTTTAATGAAAAACGATGAAATTGTTATAGCACATCAAAAAAGTGCATAATTGCGAAATTCCAGAATGTTTATCGATAGCAAAAAATGGATAAATAACTCTACCGAGCCTGTGACTTTAGATTTTTCACAAGCTATGCTATAAAGGTAGAAAACTTTAATAAATACAAAATAGAAAAAATAGACTTAAATAATTTCAATAACGAATGTCATAACCCCACAGAATTAAATCCTTCAAAATTTCGCATAGACTATTTGAATAAAAAAGAACGATATAAGATTTTGAATCTAATTAAAGAATTTTCCGACTTATTTTACAATGACGAGGACCCAACATTTACATGTAAAATAAAACACCGTATACCCACCTCTGACGAAGTCTTTCATACACAAGCAAGAAGTGGAAAAACAAATAAGTGAAATGCTAGATCAAAAAACAATAAGGCCAAGCATGTCCCTATGGAGTTTACCTATCTGGGTGGTCCCAAGGAAATTAGATGCTAAGGGAGAAAAACGCTGGAGGGTTGTTATAGATTTTAGAGAGCTCAATGCGAAGATGCGAAGACCCTAGTCTAGTCTATCTGAACGACATCGTTGTTTTGTCTACGGCACTCCAAGAACATCTGAAACGACTCAGAAGCATATTTGAAAGACTAAGAGATTCCAATTTCAAAATACAGTTGGATAAATCATAGTTTCTCAGAAAATAAGTGGCTTATCTTGGACATCGTAACAGCCGACGGTGTTAAGCCTAACAAAATCAAGGCAATAAAGGCATACCCTATTCCGAAAAGTACAAAAGAGATCACAGGGTTCTAAGTATATCTAGGGTAGAGTCCGCGTCAGCAGTAAAGACTACGGTGACGACAGGGAAAGCTGCGCGAAGCGGGTCCGATCTCTCTCCCTCGTCTATCTCTTGCTGTCTGCCGTGACCTCGGCCGTAAGCTGAAACCAGCAACGGGGTATCTTTTTAGACAAAACTTGGATAGAAAATAAATTAAATTAATATGCCTGCTGGCCGTACGACAATGAACCACGTGCTTGGCGTTCGGCAGCAGCATCGAACAATACGATAGTTCGGTTAGTTTTCAAAATAGGGTTGGTGCGCAATTGACGTCACCGTACTCTTTACTCTTGACGCGGACTCTACTACCGCCGATTTAATAAGGACTTTGCCCGAATGACGAAACCACTTACTAAATGCCTTAAAGAAAGCGCCGTTATCGAACACAACCAATAATTTGTTCAATGCATCGAATTATGTAAAAACCTTCTCCTAGTTAATGAGTCTATTCTGCAATATCCAGACTTTTCAAAACCATTCAACCTGAATACAAATGCTAGCAATGTGGCGCTAGGTGCAGTACTATCACAAGGCCCTATCGGTCAAGACCTTCCATTAGCATATGCGTCCAGAACGTTGAACGATTCCGAAAGAAAACTACTCGGCCATAGACAAGGAACTTTTGGCAATCATGTGGGCCACCAAGTACTTTCGACCGAACATTTTTGGCAGAAAAATAAATTAAATCACTGATACCAAACCCTTACAATGGCTCTTTTTGGTATAAGACCCAGGCTCAAAACGACTACGATGGAAAATCAAAATAGAAGAATACGATTACAAAATAATATATAAAAAAGGAAAATAGAACACCTACGCTAATGCACTATCAAGAATCGAATTGCATACAAAAGAGACTGAAGAAGGATCCGTAGGTATATTAAAAAATTACATCGAAGATAGACAATTAATGGAAAGCGGTAACTTCGACAAAATCTTAACGACCGCTCAAGTAGATTAAACTGAATCCTTG